TTGTGATTATTTTGTTGCTTTTGATCATGGTGTCCCCTAATGGATGTAAAAGAACCCATGTGACTAGATAGTGGTGGTCACACACTCAAGTTGGCAGCAAGAGAAACAATCCATAAGAGCTGGCCTCTGATTTCTTCTTTCTCCACACTAAATACTCTGTAATTTTTAAAACAAAATTACTTGGAATCCAACAATTTACAACTACCCCTTTCAGCCCCACAACTGCTATTAAAGTCAATGGGAATAATTCCCTTGATTTTAAAAGGAGATTAATTGGGCCATAGGAATTATAACAACTAATATTTTACATATTGAAAAAGCAATTAGCTGAAAATCAACTTATGGCTATTTCCTATTACATCATAAATGTTCATTGCCTTTTGTCTGTGTCTCAAACATTCACCTACAGATTCTAGGCAGTGAGATGGTTAACATAGGAAGGAAATCAAGAGTACGTCTACAGCAGCTGGGATGTGCGATTCCCAGCATGGGTAGGCATACGTGTGCCAGTGCTGCTCAAGCTTGTGTGCTAAAAACAGCAGCATGGCAATGGCTTGAGCTAGCCACTCAAGTCCAATCTCAGCCGATGCCCTGGGTACACACTCAGGAAGCTATCCCAAGCCTCCACCACTGGTGCACACTGCTACTTTTAGACACTAGCAAGCAGAGCTAGTGTGAATCTGTCTACTCACACTGGGAAAAGACAGTTACCTTTTCCGTAACTGGGGTTCTTCAAGATGTGTTGCTCAGGTCCATTCCATATTAGGTGTGTGTGCTCACCACATGCACTGGTGCCGGAAGTTTTTCCCTCAGTGGTATCCGTAGGGGACTGGCTCTGGCACCCCCTGGAGCGCGAGCACATGTCGCAGTATAAGGGGCGATGCCGGCTCCCCCCACCCTCAGTTCCTTCTTGCCAGAAACTCCGACAGTGGGGAAGGAGGTCGGGTTATGGAATGGACATGAGCAACACCTCTCGAAGAACACCAGTTACGGAAAAGGTAACTTCTTTTCTTCTTCAAGTGCTTGCTCATGTCCATTCCATATTAGGCGACTCCCAAGCAGTGCCAACAGAGGCAGGTAGGAGTTCACGGACGTGTAGACTGCAACACAGCTCTGCCGAACCCAGCGTTGTCTCTGGCTTGCTGAGTGATGGCGTAGTGCAC